TTCCTATTTGTACCTTTTGGAGCAATGATGAAACTATTGGGCCTCTTTTTTTTTGTTTGTTTTTTTTTTTGTTTTGTTTTGGGAATCAAACTCAAAGCCTTGTACTTGCCAGACAGGTACTGCACTGCTGAACTATGTCCCTGACTCTGAAACTGTTGGGACTTTGGAAACTCTAAGAGATGGACTACTTTCCTTTCACATATAGAGAAGTACATGAGTTTGGGGGATTCTAGGGGCATTATGGCTTGTGTCTACATAAGCCTCATGTGGTCCCTTGTGGGTTTCTTAGATGAGGCTAGAAGTATGTGATGGGATCAAGGGTATGTGATTACTACCTTATTCCACTGTTTGGCACAGTTCTGGGAGAGGCTAATAGGAGTGCCCTCCCTGGGTGTCTGTGCTACTCACCCTAAGGACAGGTAACCTGGATAATAAAATGCAGCAGTGCAAGCATAAAGTTCTGTAATTCAATGTCCAGACTGGATAATAAAATACAAGGGACAGATAGTGGTGTTTTGGTTGTTGCTTGCTGCTTGTTGAGTTCTGCCTGCCATGAACTGTTGTCCTCTGCCATGCCATCCAGCCTTAAGTAGCCAATAATGAACAGAAACCTCCATAAACTATGAGACAAATAGCCTTTCCTTCTTTAGCTTTTGTGTGGAGTATTTTGTTTCAGCAATGAGAAAAGTAAGACATTTCCTCTGCATATTGTTCAGGCAATCATAAACATGAGAATGTTTTTTCTAGATCTTATTTCCCCTTCCTGCACAAGCCTTAGTACAGACTATATCATGATCTGGATTGTTTTTTTCAGCTACTGTTTTTTGTTGGGGAGAGAGTAGCATATAATGCTTTTTTGTGGGTACTGGGTGTCGAACTTGGGACTTTGTGCTTGTTGGGCAGGCACTTATACTGCTGAGCAATCTCCTTGAACCCTGTAGAGTGTAATTCTTTTTCTTTCTTTTTTTTTTTTGGGGGGGGGGTCATTTTCATTCCTTCTGATCAAGGAGTCCAAATGTTAGCCAGAAAGTATTAAAATGAAAAACTTTTCTTTCTTTTTTTTTTTTGGCAGAACCGGGGATTGAACTCGGGCCCTTGCGCTTGCCAGGGAAGCACTTATTCCACTGAGCCATCTCCTAGCCACTGAAAAACTTTTCTTTCGATTTTTAACTTAAATAATCTTACAGACATTGTTTTGTAAAAGTGAGGACCTGAATTTTCTGGAGTTAACAAAGATCAAAATGGCAGATTTTTGAGATACCCACTATGCAGTGTTGGCAAACCTATGGCACATATGGCAGAGTGTGCTGTTTGTTTCATTGAAAGCTCTAAAAGGTTCACCTTCACTGCTCTAAATATTTTGATAGGGTGGGGAGATAGCTCAGCAGTCTAAGCGCCTGCCTGGCAAGTGCAAGTACTTGGGTTCAATACCAGACACTGCATGATGATCCCTGGTACTGCTTTTTGCTTTGGAACCCCAGGTGAGCTGTGTCGGCCCTGAAACTGGGTGTGATGGTGCACACCTGTAGCCCCAGTGCTGGGGAGTCTGAGAAAGGAGGATCACTATGAGTATGAGCTGTGTAGCAAGATCTTGTACCAATTAGACAAAATCAAAATTTTTTAGGGCCAGCCAGATAGCTCAGTGGATTAAAGCACCTGCTTAGGCAGGCATGGGAACTGGGGTTTGATCCCTGGCATGCAGCGCCAGCCCTCCCCCTGGGGCACACTGAAACGGCCATTGAGACTGGGCATGGTCGTGTATACCTGTAATCCCAGTGCTTGGGAGGGTGAAGACAAGAGGATCACTAGGAATCTGATCTGTGTAGTGAGACCCTGTAGACCCTGTGCTACATTAAAAAAAAATTTTTTTTTGAAATAAAAGATTTTGATAAGTTGAAATATTGGTATCTGGAAACATACAACATTCATTTTATTATATCCTTGCAAATACTGTTCTTTGATATTTTATAACTATAGATAATTATGGGGTAAAGGCTGATGCTTTAAAAAATTTTTTTTTTGTATTTAGTACAGGTCTCACTACACATATCAGACTTGTAGAAATCCTCCTGCCTTTAGCCTCCCAAGCACTGGGATTACAGGTATGCCACCATGCCCAGTCTCAGCGGCCATCTCTGTGTGCCCTGGGGGCAGGGCCAGCTTGGTAGGCTGTGGATCAGACCCCCTGTGATCCCCTGTGGTGTTTTAATCTGCTGAGCTATCTCTGGCTGGCCCTGTTGCTTATTTTTGTTTTTAAAACTAATTTTTAGTATGACAGGTGTTTTTAATTTAGTGTTACTCGGTAATCATTTTTAATACTGCTTTAGTTTGCTGCTATTTATTGAGCACTTCCCTGATAATCAGAAATAGAATGAGTAGTAATGTAAGTGTATTACATATTTTATTCTTCCAACAGCTTAACTGTAGATACTTTTACTTTTTTTTTTTTTTTTGAACCAGGGATTGAACTCAGACTCTTGTGCTTGTCAGGGAAGTGTTTCTTCTACTGAGCCATCTCCCTGGCCCACTTTCACAATTTTCTGGTGAGGAAAGTAGCTTTATAAGGGGAAGTGATTTGTTCACTGCTATTTGGTTAGGGAACTCAGATTCTGTGATTCTTACTGTATTATCTCACTTTGTATAAATGAGAAAAATTAGTTTATTTTATATTATAAGAAATTGGACCAGGGAGATAGCTCCATAGAATAAGTGCCTGCCTGACAATCACAAGGGCCTGGCGGCCCAGCGGAAGCCTGAGGGCACCGGAGGAAAGAGCTGGACCCCGCGCTGTGGAGGAATGGCGGATGGTTCTGCAGAGTGAAGACTTAAATCGAGATCATGGCAAAACATCTGAAGTTCGTTGCCAGGACTGTGATGGTACAAGATGGGATCGTGGAAGGTGCATACAGGACACTAAACAGAATTCTCACGATGGATGGGCTCATTGAGGACATTAAGCGACGAAGATATTATGAAAAGCCTTGCCGCCGCTGCCAGCAGGAAAGCTATGAAACCTGCCGGCGGATCTACAGCATGGAAATGGCTCGAAAGATCAACTTCTTGATGAGAAAAAATCGTCCAGATCCATGGCAGGGCTGCTGAAGCCTGTGGTTAGCAGGTTCACATCCAGTTTGTGTCTCCACGTCTTCCTTGAAACTCATTTTGTTACCTTTTTCCTTAATAAACTCAGTCACATTTATGCAGTAAGGTCTACATACATAAAACCATCCTACTAATGAGCAGCACCCCCTCTTTTATTACGGAGAAACTGAGTCCAAAGCAGTAAGGAATAAAGTGATGATTGCCAGGTCTTGAGAAAAAAAAACCCAACAAGGGCCTGAGTTCAATCCCCGGTTCTGGAAAAAAAAAAAGAAAGAAAGAAAAAGAAAGAAAGAAATTGGATTAAATACATACTTCCTTTGATTCTCAAGTATAGCTAGCTGTGATTTTTTCTAGTTCTCTTAACAGCAAAATAAATAAATGTGGTAATTGGTGTCAAACATATTTCTTTAGTTTTGTTTTATTTAGATTGTTGGCTAAATGTGTAAAGCTGTGAAAATGACTATAGAAGATGTTTTGGATCAATTTAGGACATTGAGGTAGTTGTGAAAATATGTTATGGACACTCATGAAAGAGGACTTTCAGAGCTGCTTCAGAAAATGGAAAGAATGATGAGATCAATATGTTTAAAGCAAGAGTAGCCAGGTACATAGTGCACACCTGTAATCCCAGCACTCTGGGAGGATTGTTGTGAGTTCTAGATGAGCCTGGGCCACACAGTGAGCTCAAGGCTAGCCTGAACTTCATAGTGAGACCCTGTCTCAAAAAGACAAGAGCAAGACTGATGAGATAGCTCAGTGGACTATTAAGCACCTGCTTAGGCAAGAGCAAGGACCAGGATTCAATCCCTTATGGTGTGCCGCTCCCACCCCCCTGGGTGTGCCGAGTCAGAGACATGGTGGTGCATGCCTGTAATCCCAGCACTGGGGAGGCTGAAAACTGGAGAAGCACTATGAGTCTAAGGTGCTTAGTGAGACCCTGTACCAAATACAATTTAAAAAAAAACAAAACAAAAACAAACAAACAAAAAACAAAACAGTGGAATGCTTAAATGGGAATTTTTGTATTTTTATAGTACTATTTTAAAATTTAAAGATTCATTATATTTTTTAATCATACCATATGTATGAAGGACTTTTTTTTTTTTTTTTTGGCTACTTCAGGCTGCCTTAAGGGCAGGTCTGGTTCAACTTCTAGAGCTGTGAATCGAACCGTGGTCCTAAGTGCCATTGCATTTACCCAACAGCACTTTAAACAACTGAGCGGGGGCCCGGCCCTAGCTCAGTTCTTTAAGTGGCTGCTTCCACAAAGCTGTCAGCCTCAGGTTGCTGTAGTTCGATCCCCACAACACTCCAGCTGGCCAAAAGTGCCCTGAAGGCATTCGAGGAGAAAAAAATCCTTATTCCATTTTATGGGCTGGTGAGATGGCTCAGTGGTCTAAAGCACCTACTTAGAACAAGCTTAGGGGCTGGTGAGATGGCTCAGTGGTCTAAAGCACCTACTTAGAACAAGCTTAGCAAAGTGCAGGGACCGCGGTTCAATCCCCCAGCACCACATGCCAGCCAGTCCCGCCCCTCCGGTGGGCTGAGCTGGCCACACACACACACACACACACACACACATAAATAAAAATTTAAAAAAAAAAAAAAAAAAACAAGCTTAGCAAATCAGAGGGACCATGGTTCAATCCCCCAGCACCACATGCCAGCCAGCCCCGCCCCCTGGTGGGCTGAGCTGGCCACACACACACACACACACACACTCTAAATAAATAAACTTTAAAAAACAAAACTGAGCTATTGGGCAAATCCCCACACACTCACTATATGTATGAATAGCCTGAATTACTTAGTGTAAATGTGTGTCTAGAATCACTTGTTTTTAATTATAAGTGAGAAGTATTTTTTTGTGATTATTATTTCATAAATGTTTGGTTTAGTTTTTGTAGAAAATGTTTCCTGACTGCAATGAGAGAAAGTGGAACACATTGTCCCTTGTGTCGTGGAAATGTGACTAGAAGAGAAAGAGCATGTCCAGAACGGGCCTTAGATCTTGAAAACATCATGCGAAAGTTTTCTGGTCGCTGCAGATGTTGTACAAAACAGGTAAAGTCAATGTGATGTAGTTCTTTGAAAGTTAGGGTTCTACTTTGAAGTTCTTGTTTAAATTCCCTTGGTGGGTGCTGTTGTGAAGAGAAAGATATTGTTTATGTGGGAAACCAGGTAGGAAAGTCCAAAAAAGGTGTGACTATGGAATTTACTAGACTATAAGTTTCTTGGGAACAGAAACTGAACAATAAAAATCTCCAATAATTTTTATGGCATTTTCCTTACTGAAGTACTTGATCATTCATTACTTAACTTAGTTACCTCATTGAACACTTAGCCCATTCATACTCCATTGTGTTTGCAGATTCAACCCTTAAACAGGTTTTTGTTGTACAGTAACACAATTTTGCACATAAAAATGTTAGTAGATTGTCCAAATGGATATAATCAAGGAACTTTCTAGCTTCCCATTGTATTTATATAGTTGTCTAAGAAATCATACAGTAGTTTGGTCCATTTTTAAGGAACAGGAGGGAAAAATCAGGCATTGGCAAATAACGAGCATTAATTTTCTGATTTTTTTTTTTTTTTTGGCGGAACTGGGGATTGTACGCAGGCCATTGCGCCTGCCAGGCAAATGCTTATTCTACTAAGCTATCTCCCTGACTCATTTTTCTGATCTTAATTTTATTGTACTGTTTGGAGAAGGAATAAAGTGGTGAGGAGTGGTTAGAGATTCCTTATATCTGTGTGCCTATAAGTTTATTTGAGACTTTTTTTCTAACAGCTAATAAAGTTATTTGAGCAAAACCAGTTGCTATTTCATGCATACAATCAATCAGCTAGCTCTGCTTTTCCATCTCTTTGGAGGAAGCATTAAACTGACTGGGTAATGCAAGGAAGTTAGAAAACATACTTTAGAGCTGCTGGGTTGCTCCTCAGTAAGCAACTGAATATATCCCTATTATTAACCTGGGAACTTAATTTTTAAAAACTCTTCCCGGCTATAGCAGTTAATGAAAGAAATGGCCAATAGCCTGAATCAACTTCTTAGTACTTTTTTTTTTTTTTAATAGTATTTCAGCTGAATATGGTGGCACATGCCTGTAATTTTGGTACTCAGGAGACTGAGGGAGGAGGATTGCTGTGAGTTGGAGGTCATCTTGAGCTACGTAGTCCAAGACCAGCGTGAACTACATAGTGAGACCTGTTTCAACTGAAAAGTATCATTTCAAGTATAAAATTACTAGTTAATGTTTTCACAATATTTGTGGAAGATAGACTTTCTGTCCATGGTCTTTGTGTCTACACAATAAAAACATATTAGCTATTTTAATACCTACTTAAGCATTAAGGAAAGCTGGGTGTGTGGTGGTACACACCTGTGCTCCTAGCACTCAGGTGGCTGAGGCAGGAGGATCATCAAGAATTTGAAATCAGCCTGGGCTACAAAGTGGGCTCAAGGCCAGCCTAAATTGCATGGTGAGACCCTGTCTCTAAAAGACCAAGAAAAGAAAAATTAAGGGGCAGTAAAAAGAATTAAGGTGGGTTACGCATGTATCAGCTTCCCATGATGGATGTAATCATGTACTGCAAGCATGTACCAATAAAAATAAAAGTTTTTAAAAAAAATAATTTGTTTTCTTAAAGATGTTGCTTAGATGAAATATTTAATATTTTCCTTTTTTTATCTCACATCTTGAATTCTGTTTTAAATTAAAAATCACGTTTTTAATAATTTACAGATTAAGTTTTATCGCATGAGACATCATTACAAATCTTGTAAGAACTATCAGGATGAGTATGGTGTTTCTTCTGTCATTCCAAACTTTCAGATTTCTCAAGATTCTGTAGGGAACAGGTAAGCCATAGTCATCCTTAAAAGTAGAATTGTTATAATTGAAATGGAACTATTTCAGGATGTATATGGTTTTTTAAATTATTCTGTGTTTTAATTACATTAATTAGAACGACATCTGTCTTCAAAATTTGCTTGACATATTTGTGTGTAGGTCAGTTGTGACTAGATTGATTTTATGTTTTTATTGCTTGTGTTATTTAAAATCACTCCCAAGAATGTACAGTTTTGTTAATAACAATTCAACTTTAGGGGTAAAGGCCTTTATAAATTGATTTTGCAACAGAAATAATTTGAAAACTCCCTTTGAGTGATTATAATTGAAAATTAAAATCTGATTTAATTGTTATTTAACAAATAGTTATTTGAAATTTTCATGCTGATACCATTGTATAAAAATTGAGACTTGGTACTATTATATTCTCCTATATTATAATCTTTTTTTTTATGGTACTAGGAATTTAATTTCATGCACGCCTTTACCATTTCAACCTAATTATTTTATTTTGAGATGAAATCTTTTTTTTTAAATTTTATTTGTGTGTGTGTGTGTGTGTGTGTGGCCAGCTCAGCCCACCAGGGGGTGGGGCTGGCTGGCGTGGTGCTGGGGGATTGAACCGCGGTCCCTGTGCTTTGCTAAGCTTGTTCTAAGGTGCTTTAGACCACTGAGCCATCTCACCAGCCCCTTTGAGATGAAATCTTAACTGTCCTAGTATTACTTATTGAGGAATCTGTTCTTTCCTAAGTTAAAATGCCTCTTCTGTCCTGTACATCTTGGTATCCTGTTTCTTTGGTTCATTGTTTATTGCTCTAGTACCATACTACCACTAAGTTAAATCATATGGCTTTCTCTTTATCAGGTAAGGAAATTTCCTTTTTGTTTTACTTTTAAAAATATGCTATTCTTGAGCTGAGCATAGTGGTGCGCATCTGTAATTCCAGCCCTTTAGAGACTGAGGCAGAAGGATCATTGTGAGTTTGAGGCCAGCCAGGACTTAATATAAGTGAGTTCAAGGGCTGGACATAGAGTTCAGTGGCACAAGCATATGCCTGTCAAGCACAAGGTCCTGAGCTCAATTCCCAGTACCTAAAAAAAAAAAAAAAAAACCAAAAAAAAAAAACCAACAGAACAAAACTATGAGTTCAAGGCCAGCTTGCATTACATAGCAAGACTCTGTCCAAAAAAAAGAGCTATCTTTTCACCCTTTGCTTGTATAAATATTTTATTTTTTTCTAGTAAAATCTTAAGGTTTTCTAGCAAAATAAATGGACTTTTTGTTTTATAATCATAATTTTTACTAATGAGTAGGAATATTATAGATTTTTATCCATAATCTTGTTTCTGACAACTTTGGTTATTACCCGTAGGCTCTTTTAGATTTATTATTTATTATTATTTTTACTTTATAGTTTTTTTTTTTTTGTCTATTTTTTGTGGTCTTAGTGTCTCTTTAATGCTTCATATCATACTTGGTTTATTATATTTAATAGGGTCTCTATCCAGTGTTATTCTTGATTTTATTTATTTATTTATTTATTTTATTTTTGGCGGTACTGGGGATTGAGCTCAGGACCTTGTGCTTGCCAAGCAAGCACTTAATCTAGTGAGCTATCTCCCTGGCCCTATTCCTGATTTTAGTGGAAATGTAATCTAAAATTCAATTCTACTGTCAACTATGTTGCTATAGTTTTTAACATTGATTTTCCTTTTATAGTTCTAAAGTAACTTTAAAAAAAATACCTATATACTGCATATGCTGTATGCTAACATCTGGAATTTGATTTCTTTATTAAATGGAACTATTAAAATTGAAATAATTTATGAGAGATTATACACAAATACAAATGGCCAGCTTAACTGATGTTTAGGGTCTAAAATACACCCATATATTCTGATGTCTTGGGTCTAAAATACATGTTGTGCCAGGTGTCAGTGCATGACTAATCCCAGAACTCAGGAGACTGAGGCAGGAGAACTACTGCAAATTTGAGGCCAGCCTGAGCTCTATGGTGAGTTCAAAGCTAGCCTGGACTACATAGCAAGACCTTGTTTTTAAAAAATAAAAAAGATGGCCTGGGAGATAGCTCAGTGATCTAAGTGCCTGCCTGGCAAGCACAAGGACCTGGGTTTGATCTCCAGTACCACATGCCGTGCCCCGCCCTGGGCCTACTGAGCTGGCCACCAAAACTGGGCATGGTGGTGCATGCCTGTAATCCCAGCACTGGGGAGGCTGAATTGGGAGGATCACTATGACTCCAAGCTACATAGCGAGATCCTGTACCAGATATATAAGTTGAAAAAAATAATTAAATGAAAAATAAAAGAATAGAATATTGTGATTGTATTTTTAATAACTGATATGGTTGAGCCAGGCACATATACCTTTAATCCCAACACTCCAGAGGCTGTAGCAGGGAGATCTCAAGTTGTAGCCCAGTTTGGGCTACATAAATGTGGCTAGACCCTGTCTCAACAAAACAGTTACACATTTCTGGATGTTAGCCTAGGTTTGCTACAGGTATGATTTCAGAACACTAGACTGGTGATGATACAAGTTATACTGGAATGTAGTTATAATGAGAGAGCAAAGAAAGCTCTTAAAACTCAGATTTTTAAGCTGAATAGCTCATGCCTATAATCCCTGCACTTTGAGAGTGTGTTGGGATTGCATGTATATGCCACTGTGCCCAGCTGAAGAACCTTTATGAAAGGGACCACATTGATGAAACTCTTCAGTTCATAAGTGACAATTGGTGGAGCAGCTACCACTTTCCTCAAGATTGTAGAATATTCCTTAATTGCGACTTTAGGGTGTATGGTACAAGTAAAAATGTCAATGTTCTATATATGTTACTGAAGCCTTTTTTTAGGGGAATGGAAGGTTACTATTTAAGATGTTAAAATATTGTCTTAAACTTACTCCATTTAAATGGTTAAAGGTCTTCAACCTTAAACCATTTCCTAGCTATCTATAAAATGTGCACTTTTTTTTTTTTTTAAAGACAGAATCTTTAAAAAAAGATCTGGTGCCGGCTGACCTTGAACTCATTTATGTAGCCCAGACTGGCCTCAAACTCAGTCATCTTTGCCAGAGCCTCCCAAGTGCTGGGATTACAGGCATGCCTATCAGTATAGTCAGGCAAAAATTTTGAGTATACACTCCCATTTAAGGTAGAGGGCCAACCTGATAGCTCATTGGACTAAAGCACCTGCTTAGGCAGAGCACAGTGGTCAAGGGTCGATCTCCCTCATGCCATGCCAACCCTACCCTCGAGCATGCTGAGATGTTGATTGAGACTGGGCATGATGGCATGCACCAGTAATCCCAGCACCTGGGAGGCAGAAAACAGAATCACTGAGTCCGATCTACATAAATATAGAAAAAAAAGAAAAATAAAATACAAAATTTATGGTAGAGGAATATAGATAAATGAAAATTCTATATTCTCAAGTCAATACTTTTGTAACTTTATTCATTTGAAAAGTCATGAGTAAGACCCTAATAGGCAATCCTTTAATTTACTTGAAGTAATTAATGCTATAATTATTTCATAGGCAGGAACCATTCAAAGTTCAGACTTCTGAAATACATTCAGTCTATTCTTATTAACAATTAAAGTTAACCTCTAGTCGACTTTATTATTTGAGTATTAACTTTTCTTTCCCTTTGCTTCCTAAGTAATAGGAGTGAAACATCCACATCTGATAATGCAGATACTTACCAAGATAATACAAGGTAAGCTTTTGAAAAATTCTGCCACTACACTATATAATACTCATCACTTTATCAAATGATAATTGTTAGGGTAGATTTGTGATATTGAGAAGCAAATCCAGGGCCTTGCAATGCTAGGCCAAGTGCAGTCTCACAGCTGCATCCTAGCATTAGGTTTTGAGTTGAACTTTCTTCAGTTAATTCTCTAGCTTATAGTGCTAGAACTTAGTAGTTTCAAAGTAAATTAAATAACATACTTGCTGCTTTTCAGAATAATACCAGGTTAGCAAGGGTAGGTGATGGCATGTATCCCCCTATACTCTGGAGGCTGAAGCATGAGGATCCATGTGTTTGAGGCTAGCCTGGGCTGCATAGTGAGTTCAAGGCTCATTTACACTACATAGTGAGGCTCTGACTCAAAAAGAAAAATGAAAAAGAAGCACATCAAGTTAGAGGGGAAAAAAAAAGAGGGAAGCAGTTCTCTTCGACTGTCAGGTTTCTCTGTGCATTACCCAAGTAGAGTTAGCACTATTGAAACTGCCACTTGCTGATTTTCAGAGATATTAAAACCCCAGTGATGCTTGATCTTTAGAACATTTTGAAATACTAAAATACTTCATTCTGGGAGTATGTGTGTGTGTGCGCGCGTGCGTACGTGCTTTGTATGTACCATTCCTAGGGTGCATGATAGATTAACAAGTTTAATTGGTGATTTAAGCCACCTGGCAATGAGACATGAATTATGGCCACATTGTGAATGTGTTAAAAATGAAATTGATGGAAATCTTTTAGAAGTTTTATATTCCTAGATCATGGAATACAGGGTTTCCAAACTGTGAGGCATTGTAAGATATTTAAAAATGTCATGTGCTTGCCTGGTAAGCGCAAGTTTCTGAGTTCAGTTCCTTGTCAATCAATCAGTCATACATGATATTTGTTGGCATTACATGCATGAATGATAATTGAGGTCCAGAGTACTTCAGAGCAGCAAAGTTTTTGTTTTTGTTTTAGGCTAATTAGGCACTGTGAAAAAAATTAACAAACAGTAGTAATGTCAGTTGAGATTGAGAGATTATTCCAGATCATTTGTTGAAAACATATTTTGAAAGTGATGTAATTCTTGACTGGTATGTTAGGGTTTTTTAATTGAATATTTATTTACTTATTTTAGTTCTTCTGGCCATCCTACCTTTAAGTGTCCCTTGTGTCAAGAGTCTAATTTTACCAGACAACGCTTACTGGATCACTGTAATAGTAACCACCCATTTCACGTAGTTCCTGTGGTAAGTACAGGTATTTAATGCAGTCTTGTGCTTAAAGCATGCTGATCCTTTTATTTCGTTTTATATAGAGAAGAAGGGAGGATAATTGATTTAAATTTGACTGGACCTGGGTGAGGTGGTATATGGCTATAATCCTAGTACTTGGGAGGCTGAGACCGGTGAATCATCACAAATTTGAGGTGAAGCTGGAGTGAATTCAAGGCCAGCCAGAACTACATAATGAGACCCTATCTCAAAAAAAAAAAAAAAAAAAAGAAAATACAAAGAGGAGGTGCTATTAAGATAGACTTTTCTCAGTTTTTGTCAAATATTGGTGACTATGAAACTAAGTTAATTAAAATTCCAGTAATTAGGGCCAGCCAGATAGATCAGCAGACTAAAGCGTGCACTTAGGCAGGTGCAGTG